GACCGTCCCTTTACAGTAAAAGTTTCTCTGTGACGACCGCCCCATTAAAGTAAAAGGTTTTCTTTGACGACCGTCAATTTACAGTAAACAAGTAAAGTAAAAGACGACTAATTAAAGGTGTGCTGAAATCTGTTGGACCGAAAGGTGCAGATATCGCATCTTAGCTGTGAACCACAACTCGTCGTGCTGATTATCGTCTCATGGGCCAAAGCTGAAGAAGAAGAAGAAGAAGAAGACTTATGATAGTGAGTAGAGAACCCTTTCCCCACGCCTCCGGCATATTGGACATATAGGGTGGGACATATATTTTATAAACGCATTGGTGGGTGATGTAACAACATCACACTTGCCGCCTTTATTTTCGAGGACTTAACCTGGTAGCAATTTAAGGTTTAGTCGACATGAGGACGAAGGTCATGTTTGAAAAAGAAGAAAAGTCCGACTGCATGACAACCTGAACCCATGCCTTTGGTTGCGCTGGCGAGCTTCTAGCCGCTACACCACGGCGACTCCTTATTGCAGTGAGTTAGTATATCCAGTCATTTAGGGGGCGGATCTCGGTGGCCAAGTGGTTAAGCCGTTTTACTCGTGTTCTGAAGGCCATGGGTTCTTTCACGGACTGCCATACCCAGATGATGGATGCCGTTTTTAGGGCAATTCCTGGTATCGACTGTGGAGCTAAGGAGTTCGTGCTTTGGGAAACACTATTTTACTATATACTGAAATGAAATACATTCTTGAAATAATTTCTGTCATCCCCGTATTCAGGACACACCCATATACCCCGTCTCGCCAGCCAGCGATGGGTCTCTAAAATGATGGTACCTGATATAATCTGGTTAGCTACTTGTCTTGCCTTTGCTTCGAGTCTCGAATCACCAGCAACCGGGTCGCCTATTGGCTGGTCAATAGACGACTTCTTCACCGGTCAGGGCAGTATTTAGGTCTGTCTCTTTTGATCGCATTAACACTGCAAAAGTGCTTTTCAGGGCTACTTGGTGGGAAGCAATGGTAAGCTATTTTATGTGGCGCAAATAAGCTAGTCACAATTATAACCTAAAGGTGCCCGTCCAGTAATGCTGGCTGAACGTGAGAATTTTTTGGGGAGCAAAGCAAGAGTCTCGTGTGGCACCTGAAGCCTTAAGACACTGCCCGGCTACACCCCCCCCCCTCCTCTTCCCTTACCACAGGTACGGGTTTCTCACATGAAGTAAACCTGATTTCACCTAATGTCAGTATAAATTAGAGCACATTCCAGCATTTGTAATTAAGACTTAGATGTTGTAATGTTTTCTTTTTTCTTCTTCTCTTTTTTTTTTTTTGTTTTTTTTTTGTTTGTTTGTTCTTTTGTTTCTTTTCCATATTACTCAAATTTTAAATTGTGCATTCCTCTTATTATTATTATTATTAATTATTATTAATATTATTAACTATGAAATGAGGTAAAAATGAAACATTGTATGAAAGGAGCGGAGTGGAAGGGCAGAATGTTAGACGGGCCTGCGTGCCCAATTCTTAACCCTTTGAAAATAAAGTTTGTTCGTTCGTTCGTTCCCTGATGTGAACTTTCTTCAACACTCCGATACTACTCAGGATTTTCTTTGAAATCCGAGTACATCTGCTTGAGAGGCAAGGAACCAGCAAATAAATAAGTCAGATTTGTAAAACGGATGTGTACGCAACACTCAGGTTCTAGAACAAAACTTAAGTATAAAACAAAAGCAGAAGAACAACCAAAATTTTTCACTGGAGTTTAAACCGGCGGACACAAAGAAGAAGAAGACAACGAAGAATTTAGACGTATCACCCGGCCTTGCGAGTAACAGACACAGACAATAATGACTACCGAGCAAGCGAACAAAATCACATTTTCAAGACAGTCAGGTTTATATGTAGCATTTATTTATAATATATGTTATAAATATTCAATAAATCAATCAATCAGTAGCCTGTCCCACGACCGGGTTCAAGCAGAAACGGGAATTTCCGTCGACCTAGTCTGCATGTAAATAGCTCCAGGAGGTCGTGCCTGTCCCTTGCAGAACCTAGCCCCCATAACAACCTTCCGGAAAACTTCTCGATCACAAGCAAGATGTCCCGTGTTAGATACGCCCGATATAAATACTACAGATTAATAAATTAAAAATAAAAGTATAAAAATAAATTAACAAATTGAGGTAACTAAATATGCTATAATAAATATGTTGATATGTGGCATAATATCATTTAAAATAAATTACATTTTATAAATTATTATTTACATCACCTTACACTAACAAATCATGAGTAGTGTATATGTTTACTTTAGTTAAAACTAAAAGTACATGATAATTGTTATACCTAAGGTATATGATGTGCCGGTTGCAGAACCAACCCTAACAGCCCCTGGCTTTTGTGTGGTTTCTCTTGACAAATTTACGTCCAGTAGTTTGCCATTGCTCCCTGGACGGTCGGCTTTCTTGATACCACTGTCGAAACCAACGCAAGGCGCATTGCCTGCAACTGGGATCGAACCCGGCATCCCGGCATTTCGAAGCGAAGCGTTCGCATCGACTTAGCCACAGAGCCGACTATGATGCCGATACTCACCACAAAATGTTCACACACAAAATGTCTATTACTGTAGTGCTAACTAACAATTATGTCCTATTAAAAAAGGTGACAGTACTGCGTACCGATAAGTACCATCAGAAAATAATTCTGACTTTGATTCCACTGACCAGACAGTAACGTGACTTTTTTTCAGAATATGTGATATGGCATGTTTCGTTGTGATGTTGTATGTTGCGTTATGTTATGCTATGTTATGTAACGTTATGATACGGTATGTTACGTTATAATATGGTGTGTTACCTTATGATATGGTATGTTACGTTGTGATATGGTATGTTACGTTGTGATATGGTGTGTTACCTTATGATATGGTATGTTACGTTATAATATGGTGTGTTACCTTATGATACGGTATGTTACGTTATAATATGGTGTGTTACCTTATGATATGGTATGTTACGTTGTGATATGGTATGCCTCATTATGTTATGGTATGCTGCATTATGTTATGGTATGTTATGTCAGGTTGTGATATAATATGCTGCGTTATGTTACGATATGTTATGTTACGTTATGCTTTGTTATGACAGTCGACGTCACTACACACTTAGCATGCCCATGAATGCCCCAGGTGCGTCGCCAAAGAAAAACATAGGGTGGGGTATGAATCCTAGTTTAAATAATTAAATAATAATGTAACAATTATTATTATTATTATTATTATTATTATTATTATATTATTATTATTATTATTATTATTATTATTATAATCACATACAATTAAGCGAGGATTAGTCCCTTTGAGGATAATAATGTGGTAATTTCAACCTATGACAATCAAATTCAAAATGTGAGCGCATGCGTCTTCCCTCATATGGCTGTGAGCCATGGCCAATGACAACAGCTCACAGAAACCAGCTTCGTGCGTCAGAAATGAAATAGATGAGATAGGTGGTCCAGGTGACAAGAAGGGACAAAGTTCTCAAGCAGACAATACGTCATGACCTTGAAACCCTGGCCCTATTAACTCGAGTGGATCAGTCACAGTTTTCATGGTTTGGACATGTATGTAGAATGGGAAAGAATTGATCACCACGGCATACATGGGAGGCTAAGAACCAGGGAACCAGGCCTCCAGGGCGTCCCATGGTCCGATGAGAAGACAACATCCGACAGTCCCTCACTGACATAATACTCGAATGGAACAAAGCCACACACAAAAACTGCTGATAAAGAAGTATGTCGATCTCTCACCCCAAGATAGAAGAGGAGCGACTAAGTAAGTAAGTAGGTCAGCATCTTTCCTGTATCAATATATAGATGTGAGTCATGGACTATCTCGCAATCTTTAAGGAAAAAATTAGGAGCCTTTGAGAGAAATGCTACAGAAAGATCCTCAGAATACCATCGACCAAGAAGAAAAGAAAATGGACACCCTAAAAGATCTGAACATCAAGGAAAGGTCTAGCAAATAGCATCTTGTTTCAGAAACTGAAATATTTTGGCCATATCAATTACCACGGCGGGTTGGAAGAATAATAGCAGAAAGCATTGTACCAGGAAAAGGGAACATGGACCAAACAGCTCAAAGGTGGACACAGGCTTTAAGTGACACCTTGGAGAGGAGAGTACACGAATCGGGATAGATAGTGAGATGCCGAATTTCTTTGAAATAAGATCCGAGTAGCGTTCTCCCAAGGACCTGCTACACGAGTTTATTGACCTCTCTGGCTTAGTTGCCTTCAACTTTTCCCCCATTGTGTGTGTATGTATGTGTATGTGCGCGCATGTGTGTGTGTCTGTGTGTGTAAGCGTCTGTATATGTGCGTATGTCTGTGTGTGAGTGTCTCTGTGTGTGTCAGCGTGTGTCTGTGTCTCTGTATGTTTGTGTCTATGTCTGTCTGTATGTGTGTCCTGTGTGTCTGTATCTGTGTGTGTCCCTGTGTGTGTGTCTGTATATGTGTGTCTGTCTGTGTATGTCTGTGTGTGTCTTTTCGTGTATGTGTATGTGTGTGTGTGTGTGTGTGTGTGCGTTTAAATTAGAGTGTTATGTCCTTTACCATCTATAACAAACAAAAAATGATTTAACATATAACAAAAATATATGACTTGTCTCTCTAAAAAAATTTGTACCTTACAATTTTCTTTGCATTTGCAGTCTCTCCATGCGATAAACCCTGGTCCAAGCAATACAAATTACACTCAACGAAAGTTTTTTTTTTTTTTTTTGGTGCACAATTGTATACAGTACTGGCACCTTTTCATGTGGGGCATTATTCTCTCAACATCAGTGTAATGGGGCTTTACGATGAGCACCAGAACATTTGTTTGTAAAAAGAAATTTTGCAGTTAGCGCTAGCACCTTTTTTTCGTGAAAAACACCAATCCTCAACAAAGTGTGAACACACTTAGAGTGAGAATTTGAAAATCAAGAACAAAAAAACATATCACGATTGCCAGAGCTGGACCCCGGAAAAGCCTGTTTCTTGACTCTTCTTGATGAGATCAATCACTTTTGGTAATTTCTCCAGCTTGATCTTTACAATCTCAGGAATGACATCCGTCTTGTTGTACCTAAAACAATTAAAGAAAAGAAAATTAAACTGAATGAATGAGACAATGGAGAGGTACATCTACTGCATTGTAAGGACTTCACATATTCTCAGACAGGGCGCTGCAACAAGGAAGTTATTTAGAATATGGGGGTGGGGGGAGATTAACATCCTTATAATTTTCTAGGTGGGTTGGGGGGGGGGGGGGGGGGGCGGAGTCGCGTATGGAAGGTAGGGCAGATGCCCTGGGTGTCACTATCAGGTAGGTGCCAAAACATTTTTTTAGCGTCTCCTCTGGAGGGAGCCACAATGAGTTTAATTTGGTTAAACTAGGTTAGAAGAGCGCCACCTTACAAAAATATCAACACTCACCCCTGATCGGCACCAATTACATTATTATATACAAAATATCCTATCCTTTTATTTTACTCGCAAGAGCATTAAACAGGCCTCCCAGTTAGTCTTTAAAAGTGGCCCCAAAATTGAGCAATGGCTAAATCAAATGCAAAGTTGGTTTTTTCGGAACCCCTTGCCATGGGAGCTAAATGCGCCAGGTGGGCCCCTTGGAGAGGGGGTTCAAAAAAAAAAAAAAAGCATAAGCCTGGTTTAAGTGTGCAGTAATATTATTTATATCATTTTATAACTCTGCACTGCAGGGTAGAAGAGGATCGGCCGATTAAGTAGGATTATTATTATTATTACTATTATTATTATTATTATTATTATTACTATTATTGTGTACTGACTGGCAAAAGAGGCCCCACATGGAAATGCAGTAAATGAATTACAATAACAATGACCTCAGTGTACTTAAAATGACTCCTAGCTTCACCTACATAACATAAAGTGACCAAATTTTCCCTGGCTGTTTAAGAGGGGCAAGCATAGGAGAGTACAATTAGCTCTTAACACTTATAACCAATTTTCCACAGATGTTTTCCTGGACAACTATTTGATAGTATAATGAGCTCTTCAAAACAATCCGGGACATACGATTTGATGTCTGGGACTGTCCCTAAAACGGACGAATGGTCACATTAAAATAATATAACAGTAAAAGTTGACACATAAGATACAACTAGTCTGAGAATGTAGGCAGAGGCGGTCATTTGAGCCATCCGCTCGTTTGAGAAACTAACTGCACATATCATGTCGTAATTGTATCTGATTCACAGAGCATGTTGAGAAAAGTGGAGAAATGTATGCTCTGTGTAGAGGGCAAGCTTCGCTTAAGAGGTCCTGGGTAGTTAGCGTCCTTTGGATTTTGTCTCTCCAGGTCATGCGGGTGTGTTGGAAATCGAACATTTAGATAGACTGACCGGTTCTGCACTGCTTGGTGGTAAACTGACGCATGGCAAATTAGATTTGAGGGCCTTTGAGAGCGAGCAAACGTTGCATAGGTACATATATATATATCAAAGTCTGGTGCAGCAAGAAGTGACCAGAGGATCTCGCTGACGACGCTCACCAGACAGGAGAGAGGGGACATGCGTGTAATCATATTGTTACTTGTACCGTGGAAATTGGAATTCTGCGCTTGTTGCTGAAGATGAGGACGGTGTGCTTATGGGAATGTCCCGAGTGGTGTGATTTCGTTTCTTAACTCATAACTGAAAAGTTGACGCAAAGAACTAATATATCATGAATTTCATCTTGAGCTACTAAAATAACAAGTGACCACACGTAACTAACCGTGCTCGACTTCCATCCTGACCAACATAAATAACAGTAGCCTCTGTAGATTTCACCCCAAGCTGTGTCCCATCATTGTAGAGAACCCAAACTGTCCCCGTGGCATAAAGTGAAGCCCAGCCTACGTAAGGAACAAACACTTGACATAGCACATCACATGTTGATGATGGAGGACCGCTGCTGCAGCCATCGCTGGACACGTCTAAAGAACGCCTCATGTGTCGTGATAAAGGCAAGTCTTGGCCGTTCCAGCTCTCTGATGATGGTGAAAGGGACGGAAAGTCTTTATACAATGGCATGCTGGGATGTGACTTGAAGGCAGGTTTATTTAATGTGCTCAAATCGTTCACAGAGCTAATTGTTTGGTAATTACTCATGCTGCTTTCATCACTGTCACTCGAGCTGCTTCTGTTGCTCTTTACCGGACCGGCTTGATGTTGAAAGAGTGAGGAATCATCAGGCATTTTTTCAACATATTCCTCAGCCGAAATCATTTGAATGTTGCGTATTTTGTGAGGCGACAAACTGGCGATTTTTCTAAGTGGGGTGGATTTTTTCGGCGAGTTATTGTTTTCTGGAGATGGTCCATTGAAATGTCTGTGGATAAGTGATCTTTCAAAGGCAGTGGAATGATCGTTGATTATGTTTGAATTCTCGGCAGAACTTGCATCTTCAGAAAAAGATACTGAAAGGTCAATTGACTGTGTTCTGTTGTACTCAGAACTTGTATCTGAGCACGATGTTGGTGCCACGGATTCTAGGCGACTGTATGCAGGAGGTTTATGAGATACTGGAGAATATCTCATGGCGGTTTCAGTAAAACGTGAAGTCTTTCCTGGTGTTAACTGAGGTGTCATTACTTGTGAAGAATTTTCTAATACCATGCCAATTTGGAGAGGTACACTATCAAGCGAATTTGACTGAGTGTAATTCTGTATTTCTGAATGCTGATATACCAGGTTGGTACTACAGCTGCAGTCAGAAAAGTTTAGCATACCGTGCATTAAAATATTACATGAAGTTGTTGGCACTGGCAAAGATTCCTCTGAGATCTTCTCAGAAAATAAATTTCTTTTTACATCTCTCAACTGTCTTTCATGAACTTTAAAGTCATAACTAACCGGTGTCTTGTGTCTGCATTTCATATCTTCACCACTACAAGGGTAACGAAATGAATCACATAACATTTGAGATTTTTGTGGAGTCGAAAATGGATTTTGAAATAGACCGATGTGAGAATCTGGCATATTTGTAAGACATGTTAACTGGCCTGGTTGAAAATCTGTATTGTTACAAAAACATGTTTGGCACGAAAGGGAAAATGTGGCTTGGTCTTGTGCACTACAACCATTTTCAAATAATAAATGGGAATCATTACAATTCTCAGCAATCTTGCATTCTGCTTGAAATTTATTTATCAAGCCAGTATTTGTTTCATGTCCGGGCATGCTCTGCCAATATGGCAAATGATCTTCACAGTTTGTACTGTTAACAAGAAATGTTGGTTTCACATCAAGAGAAGGATCTGTAGATATATTGCTGGAATTGTGTGATTGGAAACCTTCTGCCATGGTTGATTTCAAAGGTGATGATATCGCAGCGTGATTCATAGAACAGGAACAGCTGCTGATACTGTTACTTGAGTTATAAAATGAAGATGAGTTCCCTATTAACCAGTCCTGAGTTTCTTTTGCAGACCAGGCAGACTGATGATTCAAACCCTGAGAGATATTCTGGGCACTGGAAAATGCACAAGGCGCTGGCACATTTGCATCAAAATAAGATTTATCACTGGGTGGATACAGATTTCCCTGTAGCCGTGGGCATTCATAATTGTAGTGGAAAACACTGACATTCTTGTTTATTTGTTCCGGTGATTTTTCTGCGACGGCAGCTTGTTTGCAGACGTTGGTGCCCATGTTAACATTGTTCCGATGTTGAAGAGTGCTCCTCTGATTCAAGATGGTTAGTCTCGTATCTAGCAAGGGTTGAATGTCTCCGTTACCAAGGTTATGTAAGTCACATTTGTCTAGTGACTGTTTTTGTTGATTCATCGATGGCAGATACTGCTGACTGTTTCTGAAAAGACGAAAGAAAAGGATACATTATTTATAATGTACGACTATTTAATTGACATACATATTACAAATGTGGGGTGTGTTACAATAGCCCAGACCTATAAAGATCATGGCTTTTATTTCCCAGGAAAAAAAAAAAAAATAGACGATACCCGCTACATAAAAAAATTTTGTATACTACTATATCTAAAATATATATTATTTAAGTGCTAAAAAAAAATAAATGTCTTAAAAAAAAAAAAAAAACAGATGCTGGTACGGTGTACCGTTGCGTACAACGGAGAAAAGCAAGTTCTTTTTCTTCCTCCTTGGTTGTCTGTGAACTATGATTGCATTTTGTGTATTTACGATATAAAATGCAGCCATAATAGCCCAGTGACTAGAAACTTGTTTGAATCGGCTTCAGTTTCGTTTTTATCCCTCTTTCTATTTGACCCAGGTTTCCCAGCAGAGCCGTCATAACCGCAATATGAGCCCCTAGGAAAAAACTGAGGCCCCTTGATAACTACTCGACATTATCGGGGAAGGGGAGTGGCTATGCTCATGGGGCCTCCGGGCAGGTGTCCAGAGGGTCCATGCTTTAAGGCGGCAGTGGTTCACATTATGATACAGCCATGCAATGGTAACTGGGAGTTTATCATGGAAATCAAAATAAATTTGTATCGCTGATGGATTCAGGGGCCATATTTTAGAGAGTTGGTTAAGGGCCTTTGCTCGACTGGGGGCTAGAAAGACAGAAGAAAAGTGAGTACCGGTACCTTTTAAGACACTGTGTGGTAAATACTGGCACTTTTGCTTCTGGGGGGGGGGGGGGGGGGGGGGAGAAACTGCCGTGAAGTAAAGGTCATCAGAGAAGTGAAGACCACACACCCATGGTGTGTCGTTTGGTCTATAAAAATATGGGCCTGGCATAATATGCATGAGGGAGCCACTGTGGTGTTGCGGCTAGACGCTCGCCTGAAGATCAGAAGGTCGTTGGTTCGGGTCCTGATGGAGCCGGACTTTTATCAAAAATAGTCTTGGGTCCCAGGTTGATTCAGGCTTGAGTATGTACCGGGTATAGGCCTGGAAGTAAAGGCGGCCGGCGAGATGTTGACCACATCACCAATCGAGTGCCGATTGACCTGTAAAATATAGGTCTAGTCCTATATACCCTATAAGCCGGAAATCACGTAAAAGGGTCCTTTACCATTTGGCCTGGCTGAGAAAGAGGCCTTTACACTTGAAAAAATGAATTAACATTCGAATGCTTTGTCTTCTTTTTACAGTTGATCCTCAAGGGTCTCCGTAGCAAAGTGGTCAAGCTTTTTGCCTTGAGTTCTTAATGTCGTGGGCTCCTTTCAAGGCTGCGCCGTTCTGTTTACTGTGTTCTGTGCAATTCTTAAGGGGCCCCTGGGGATCGTCACCGGAGTTACCATGTTCATACCTTGTGCGACGCCCTGGGCTAGCTGTTCTTCGAAAAAATGCCGAGTCATAAGGGATCGAACCCGATGCAATCAATTCGATTATCTCGAATTTAACCTTTCATCGTTCACCGTAAACTCCGGCGGATAGTTCTGGCTGTTCGTCTACTTCTGTACTTTGGTCCTGTTCCAGAACTTGGGTTTGATGCACTCGACTTTCAAAGAAGAGTAATTAGTCGCCTTGTTCTACATGCTTGTTAGGGCGCAATGAGCCTATTCACCATTTCTTCAAGAACTGGGCCCGAGAACCCACTCAGGAAAGATCTGATGTGATTCTAAAATACTTTAAAAGATTAAAGTGAAATTTTGGATGGAATGTTGTGTTAACATTTCTTTCACGGCGCTCCATGATAGCTGATAAAAGTGTGGGACGTCGGGTGACAATCCCCATGCGTCTTCGGTCTCGGGTTCAAGCTGGGAGACGGCAGAAAAGCCGCATACTCCCCGGTGTACATGGCACCAAGGCTGAAGGGCTTCAGTACTCACGACACTGAGCCAAACGAGTTATGCTCCAGTAATTCTAATTCAAAGAAAAAAAGTACTTTATTAATATTCTACTCCAGGTGACGTCACAGAAAGTCCAACATTTAGAGGGTAGTAAGACTGGGTTTCCCGGCTTTCTGATGCTTTTAATGACCAGCAAACTAGCACTAACTCCAACTCACCTACGTCCCACGAGAGTGCAGCCTAGGTCCCACGACTGCATGCAGCCTACCTACCACTCCCTGGAATATTAGATTGTCCAGCGACATGTGGATTTACCCTGTTTGGGGTAGGATATTACCAAAGCACTAAAAACAAAAACAAAACATTTCTTACATTCCAATGACGATTGGGAATAAGCCTTGATGTGAGTTCCTGGACTGTAGACCATTGACAGTGTTCTCAATCTTCAAACATTGCTCTCGACACTGTAAAATAAAAATAAAAATTACGGTAGGAGGAGTTAAAGATAATCATTACTAAAGTATACAGAATACAAGCTTCACGAATATAATTTCCTCTAGTTAAATTAGCCTAAAGATCATCATTACAGTACACTGAATCTGATAACCCCAAGAGTATGTGGCAACCGGACAACCCCATTTATTTCCTATAGGCGCCCCTCCCCCTCACTCCCCGTGCCCAGAAAAAAAAAGGTGCCGGTACTCACCATAAGGTATTTAATAAAAAAAGTACAGATACGCACCATAAAGTGTCTATTACAGCCAGTGGCGTAGAAATGGAGTGACATTAAGGAGGTACAGGAAAAGCAATGGACTAGGCCGATATTGTCAATGCTCTCAAGGAGACAGGACGAGAAGATGACTCAGGAGACGACGTTGAATCGACAACACTCAAAAGACTACAAGAACCTTGGGTCAAAATAGGTGTCGCCAAACAGAAACACTATATAGGTAGCCAAGGGAGAATAGTAAATTAACATAGATGCTAAAGACTATAGTGAAGATGGGATCCGAGCGCTTATGGACGTCCGATGCGCAGTTAGGATAATCGGTCGATTAACTAACTTAAGGGGTCTCCTTGTCGCAATGGTCAAGTCTTTTGCCTCGCGCTCTGAAGGTCGTGGGTTCGTTTCACGGCAGCGCCTTTCCATTGACGAGTGCAATTTTTACGGAGACTTCAGGGAATCGTCACAAGAGCTACGGAGTTCTTACTTTGTGTGACACTCGCGGCCAGCGGCTAGCCGTTCTGCGGAGAGAAACGAGCCATATGGGATCAAATCCAGTGCAATGAAGTGGATATGACTTCAGCCTTTTAACCTTTAGGTATAGGGGTCTCTGGGGCGAAGTAATCAAGCCGTTTGCACGAGCTCTGAAGGTTGTGAATTCGTTTTACTGCGGTGACATTCAGTTCACGAATGTAACTTTTACAGAGATCCATGAGGATCGTCGCCGGAGCTACGGAGGTCATGTTCTGTACGACGCTGTCAGCAGGCAGCTAGATGTTCTGTGTAAAGTGGCTGAGTCATATGGGAGAAAAAGACCCTCTCACCTCTACCGTTAGGTATAAAATGCAGTGTTATGCGGTACATTCACACCCCCCCCCCCTTTTCCATTCCCCAATGGGGCCCCGCAACCTGCATGAAGTGAAACGTGAAATTAAATTGACAACTTCTTACTTGTAGACTGTACTCCAACAAAGCCAAGGTTTCTTGGCTGACGTGAGAACTGGCCAGGTCCTCGTGAAAGGAAAGGCTACTTCCATCATTCTCAGTTAAAGTAACTTTCATTTTGCTAAATAGCAAAGTCACACCTGTTGACAGAAGTAAGATTGATTCATTACCTTATACTTCTTTCATCAATATTTTTAACAACAAGGAACATTTCTGCTGTTAAGCGCGTGAGCACGAACAGTTTGCGATCCATTGCTTGATGTGCAGTAGTGTCTTTAGTCACCCTGTTTGGACGTAGAAGCTCTTTAACATCAACAATCTATATTCTCTTTAGGCTGAGGCTTGCTTTCGCACCAGATCATTTCATGTGTGGCGCCTGCGTTGGTAGTTGTTCTGGCTGCAATCTTATTAGATAGTTAAAACATCTGATCATCGGTTTCTCAATGAATTCGCTGCATGGTTTCGCTCTCACAGTATCTCCGATAATGCCATTCTAAACTTGGATGTTGGTGGCTTTTCTTAGGCATCTCATTTCACACGTGTTAATTTTACCTAGGTTACCCTTAGAGAATGTCCAAGCTATGCTACTTTATTGGCTTAATATAGGCCAAACTCTGTTGGCTAAATCTTTGGTATTTAAAATAGCATAAGGTGACCAGAAAGTAACGATCAACAGCAGTAGTAATTTCAACATCAACATCAAGTTCAACCCACCAGGATTACAAACATAATACATACATAGTTTTTTTTTTTTTTTTAAGTTTGAAAAAATATTATATTTCAGTAATGGATATTTATGTCTCTCGGTTATGTTTGATTATTTAGTATTGCATTATTTATGTATTATGCCAAGTTCAATAAAATTAAAATGTACTTTCAAACAATTAAAGTAATTCTATTGTTTTCTCTATCTTAGTTGGTATTTAAAGTGACTGTGAAAACATTGTGCTGTCTAAAGCGGTCAACATTGTGAGGTCATATTATGAGAAAAGAAGAACCAGGGCATAATTAAAGAAACACACAACGAGAGAGAGAGAGAGAGAAAGAGAGAGAGAGAGAGAGAGATTGAGAGAGACAGACAGAGAGAGAGAGACACACAACACACACACAGAGAGAGAGAGAGAGAGAGAGAGAGAGAGAGAGAGAGAGAGTATTGTTACCAATATGTGCATTTAAGGGAACACATTTTAGTAATTGTGTCCTAAAGGAGTGACTATGTAGACAAACTGTAGGGCACTGACAAAGTTCTTCAGTTTACCTCCTGTCTGGACCCACGCTAGTATAGATGCAAACGATCAGAAGAAGAAGCAGAAGATGGAGAAAGAGGAGGAGAAGGAGGAGGAGGAGAAGAAGGAGAAGAAGAAGAAGAAGAAGAAGAAGAAGAAGAAGAAGAAGAAGAAGAAGAAGAAGAAGAAGAAGAAGAAGAAAAAGAAGAAGGAGGATGGAGATGAGAAGGAGGAAAAGAGGAAGAAGGAGAAGAATGAGGATGAAGAAGAGGAGGAGTAGAAGAAAAAAAAACAGAAGAAGAAGAAGAAGAAGAAGAAGAAGAAGAAGAAGAAGAAGAAGAAGAAGAAGAAGAAGAAAAGAAGAAGAAGAAGAAGAAGAAGAAGAAGAAGAAGAAGAAGAAGAAGAAGAAGAAGTAGAAGAAGAAAAAGAAGAAGAGAAGAAGAAGAAGAAAAAGTAGAAGAAGAAAAAGAAGACGAGGGTGAGAAAGATGAAGAAGATGATGCTGAAGATCATGAGAATGTAACAATGAGAACTATACAAGCATATCTGAACTCACCATTATGAAAACAAGCCTGAAAATTCGGACTGGGAGAATTTTCCATAAGCTTACAACGGGCCCTGTCTGTTAGCAAGGTAACCTTGGGTGTCACAGATTTGATCACTTCCACAAACCTGAAAGTACACGAGAGAATAACCTAACACACGGCAAATTAAACATCACTTATCGAATTTGGCAAAGGCATCATTGGGCCCCTAAAAATTTTTGTAACAGGGCTAAGGGGACCCCTTTATCCACTCAGAGAAATTCTTTTAAATTATATTTGTTTATACATGCTATGTTATTTCAACAGCAGAATATTATGTTTTTTGTTAATATCTTACGCGGTGTCACCCTGTGTGGATATAGAAGCTCTTTAACATCAACAATCCTTATTCTCTTTAGGCTGAGGCTTGCTTTCACATCAGATCTTTTCATGTGTGGCGCCACAGGACAGTCCAACATTTTAGAGGGTGGTAAGACTGGGTTTCTCGGCTTTCTGATGCTTTTAACGACCCCAAAACATCCAGAACTGGCCCTAACCCCAACCCACCTACGTCCCACGAGAGAGTGCAGCCTAGTCCCCACGACTGCATGCAGCCTATCTACCACCCCCTGAAATATTAGACTGTCCCATGACCTGTGGATTTCCCATGTTTGGGGTGGGATATTAATTAAGCACCGAATATTATTATTAGCATATTATTAAACTAGGGTCAACCCCTTGAGCGTGGCCCCTCCCGCCTTGAAAACGTATAAGGCGATGGGTACAACGTGAAGCTGCCAGACGTGAGCATGTGAATTAAGGTACAAGATGTTTTTGTGATGTTAGTCGCACTAAAAACGGCGGAGGATGATTACGTCTGGAATGGTCTGTACTTATTCAGTATTACATGTACAATGCCAGTTTGCGTAGCTGAATGCTTGTATCAACAGTGAGCTGTAATTCTGGGGTGAGACTGTTAGAGTTGGCAAACCTGACGGCTGTCATGCATTTATTTCGCATGTGCGAGCTTCAAGATTATGTTGGGACTAACACGGTCTTTTCGTTAGTTTTCAAACAGGCAATGATAGACATTAAAAAAAAAATTTCACTTAGCATAGGAACGAAGCAGTTATGAAGCAGCCGGTCTCTAATCTAGTTGGGACCTCGATTAGCGACTATCAAAATGTTTTAATAAAAACAGAACGTGGGTTATCTATCATTCGTTTTTTATACTGTGAAACTATTTTTTTTTTAAAAAGAGCACATGGATCTTTCCATAGAGGATGTCATGTTGGCCTTACACACAATTTTAGGTACAACTCACGTTTCTTGGCCCAGGCTTCACCCACTTACACAGAAGGCCACTTGTCATTCCTACTTCGTTAGGCCCCTCAACTTTGCTGAAGGCTGTAGGGGTGTCCATGTGTACTATTTTGTTTGAAAAGCTTTCTGCGTTCTCTTCACTAGTCGGTGATATCTATCATGTAGTATATTCCAGGATGTCAGCGCGTTTAACGGTCCCAAAACCCAGAATTAGCCCTTACACAACCCTTCCCCCCTTCCTTATTCCCCCACCCCTACGAGAGTGCTGCAGCCTACGTCCGACGAATTCGCTTTCTCGAATGAAACGGAAATAGAAGACAAAGCAGAAAGCTTTAACCTTGACCAAAGTTCACGAACCTGAGCAAGCATCAATTAAAAGGGACCTAGTGTGTAAGTGGGCGGATCCTGGGCCTAGAAACGTGAGTTGTTCTTATACTTATACACACAATAAAGATTTTAAAAAAAAAAAAAAAACAACTCCTACTTACTTGTAAGCATTATGATATTTTTTCCAAAGCCGTTCTGGCATGTCAGGATATGTATAAACTTGGCCCGACGGAGACGACGTTGGACATCCGTGAATCGATGGCGCTCCTTCGACACTTTTATACACTTCAATCTGTTTAGAAGAAGATTGATCATATTAGGGTGACCACGGGTGGCTATAAACTATCAATTCACAACGGCAAGATTCTTGCCTAATGAGACCTGTATAAATTACCATTTTAATGTGAGATATCCCGACAGATGTCAATATGTCCGAGTAATGTCCGCGAAGTAGGTCAGGAATGCGAGTTTTAATGCAAAGCGTTCATTTTCATTTAAATAATTCCGAGCAACAATAAAAAAAAAAAAATAAGACTTCCTTAAGCAATCAAATGTCGACATCAAAATGATTTTTGCCTGTAATATATTCACAACCACTGTTAGATATTAACCAAAGAAGGAGAGAAAAGGGGGGGGGGGGAATAACCACATGTAAATGAGAGGTTTTAGAACGACTGCCAACAAAACCAGAAGACTTCATGTGAGAACTGGAGACATTAGAAGAACTGTAGCTACAGTACTAATTGTTAAATTCATTGAGAAGCAACGAATGCAATTTTTCGGCCACCTTATGAGAATGAACCCAACGATGGCGGCAGCACGAGCGAACAGCACGAAAACAGAAACAACAAAAATTAGAAGGATGGAAACCTTCAAGAACATAGAATGAGGAAGTCACGGGGAGCCTAAGATTTCACATAAGAGGATACCAGGAAACCGAGCATCTTTTAGCTGGGATGCCAAAGATCGGATAAACTGTGACGCCTAGTAGCACAAAGCAGACACCTCTGGTCAAAATGACCAACATGTGCCTAACCACGGACGCTGTGGACTGTTATTTGTTTCCAGCTAGACTGTGATGATGCAAATTCCTAATTTCTGGAACGAGAGTGCAAAAACTCCTTTCCTCCAGCTTTTGGTTTAAATGTCTGGTGCGACACCGTGAGCTGTAGATTTCATGTAGAATGGTTTCTCCATTGTTGTGCTCGCGATGTGTTTCTGGTTGCACTAAAAAGGTACCGATTACTTTTGGAATAGCTAGTACTTTTGTGGATACAATGCCGACTTCGTGACGACCGTTTGCGCCAACAGTGAGCTGGAATTCTAGTGTGAGACTGCTTGTGTTTGTACAGTTGACAGTTGCGTTATGCATTTTTAATTTGTGTGTGCACGCTTTAAGATTTTGCTGGAACTGACAACTTTCCCCCACTAGTTTTCAAAGTGAAATAAGGGATATTTTGTGTCATTTCCTTATGATTAGGTATCTCTCCAAAGAACGGTTATATGCCTGCTGAGAGATTCACGTAAAGCACAAACTCCTTAGCTCTAGCGATGATTCCCAAGAATATCGGTAAAACTGCACTCTTTAACCGAACGTAGCAGTCCAATGAACTTGACCACTATGATAGGGTGGTGATCAGACCGTAACGTTTCTTCTAACAGTGTTTCTTCAATCAGTATTCGTCTTACAAAATGTTGTTCTTCACACGATGATCTTATATTAGGATTTGGAAAGGCATGTGAGTAAAGTTCCTCCTCTCCATCGCACAAAGCCTAGGCAGTATTGTAGAGACCATGTGTTGCCTATGTATCATGATCACCCTTTTGGAACACAGCAGAGGCTACCATATCATAAGAGTGGTACCCTGCTTCAGGTTGCATTTCCTCTTCCTAGAGTAAGTCCTTTATCCTCCCCAATGCGCTCCTCCTTCGGGGTGGTTTGGTATGCGCCGTCCAATTTTCGGTAGGTCAGTCGTATCTGACAAAAACCCGACACTGTACATAATGATAGTGTAAGTGAAAGAAGCAAACATGGGAAAATGGAGAGAAGGAGCACCAATAAAAATTTATAACACGTTTAAAACACCACTACTAGCACCATGTGTGCTAATGGACTGCAGTAAATGGGGCATATAGAGAAAATGCCAGATAACAGAGAGATAGCATAGAGCAACTGTGTAGGTGAGGGAGTTGAATGGGAGTAGATCACAAGGCAGACCAAAAAACGTTGGAAAGATAACATACAGGCAGACTTACTTGAGTCATCCTTATATTGAACATAAAACATGACTACCGTCAGACGTTTATCCCTTAACCATCGCACCTTTTTTTCCGGCCCCCCCCCCACCCCCACCCCCCACCCCCCCCCCCCCCAAAAAAATACACACACACAGACAGAAAGAGACAAAAACTGACCTGCATTCCATCTGAGGAAATACGAATAAATTTCTTCGTTTTTTCAAACTGATTGCTGTCGCATGACTTTCCCACTCGGCTTTTCACTTCTAAAGTCACCTGGCCACATTCTGAGACCGCCATCTGTGTAGGTGATAGTGACAATAAAATGTGATAACTTTTATTACACACACATACACGCGAGCGCTCACACACCCACACATACGCACGCACGCACACAAAAGCAATGCACATGCGCACGAACACACACACACACACACACACACACACACACACATATTGAAAGATACGAAATGTAAAATATTAGTTTACTACTTTCTTCTTCTCCTTCTTTGTTTACCTGCGGTAAGCTCCGAAGAAAAGCCCTAGTTGTTTGTCCATTTGGACTTTGTGCGAGGGCCTGAGTTTTGTTTGTACCGTTGTTTTACTGGCTTATATGTGTGCATTTCGTTGTTCCTTACGGCTCGGGCAAATGTACTACGACATTGAAGGAAGCCCCCAATAAGTCGACTCCTACGACATGCTTGTTGAGGAGGCAGTGGGTCTATTCTTGTTTTCCCCACAATAGGACCCCGGAACCCACACAGGGAGGCTCGCCATTTTATAATTTTATAAAGCTACTACTGTGTGTGTATGTATGTATGTATGTATGTATGTATGTATGTATGTATGTATGTATGTATGTATGTATGTATGTATGTATGTATGTATGTATGTATGTATGTATGTATGTATATATGTATGTATGTATGTATGTATGTATGTATGTATGTATGTATGTATGTATGTATGTATGTATGTATGTTTTGTATGTACGAGTGTTTTTTTTTTGTTGTTGTATGTTTATGTTTTGTAGTATGTAATAGTAAATGTATGTATGTATGTTATGTAGAAATAATTATAGTAAAATAATGCTTTTTTCTTGGCTGTATGTATGTAGTTATGTATGTATTTAATGTATGTATGTATGTTATGTCTATGTATGGTAATGTATGTATGTATGTATGTTATTAATGGTATGATGTGTGTATGTTGTATGTGTGTCTGCTATGTGTGCTGTGTGTACTGTGTGTGTATGTGTGTATGTGTGTATATGTGTGTATGTATGTATGTACGGTATTATGTATGTATGTATGTATGGATATGTATGTCTGTATTATAGGGGGTGTATGTATGGATGTATGTCTTGGGAATGGTAGGTATGTATGTATGTTTGTGTGTGTGGTGGTGTGTGCGTGCGTGTGTCTGTGTGTACTGTGTGTCTGTGCGTGCGTGCGTCTGATGTATCAGCGGCAATGACAACCATTACATACACATCTTGCCACTGGATTTGCCAAACTACTTAATGATTGATGTTCTTTGAACAGGATTGTCATTTTCGTTTAGCAAGGCCCATAATGCATTTTATTCAATGAATGACAAGAGACAATGGAAGGTAACTTACGCAGATCTTGCCGAAGCGTTGACTGACGGGACTGAGTCTTGATGTGTTGATGGGAGGACATTTGTCTGCAGTCTCCATTGATGACTGTGATTATACCACCATTGCTACCACCACACACTGAGGGGTATAGTCTGCAGATGAGACACGTTAAAATAGTTGCGTATCCTTTACGTGACGTTGCGGAACCAGCTCCAGCATTTATTATCAGTTTTGATTTCTCTGGGCAAATTTTACGTTAATTTTTTTGCCATTACTTCTTAACAGTCAGCTCTAGGTACCACTGTCGAAACCCGCACAAGACAAGTCGTCCGCAGCAGGGATTGAACCTGGTGCCCCTGCATTACGAAGCGCCTAAGCCACAAACGCTGACATGAGACACGTACACAACTAAAAACAAGATGAACCATTTCCAAGAATTCAGGGGTTTTGAGCTTATAGTGCTATACCGTAATTTGAGAGACCAATCTGCACTCAGTGAGTGATGTTGTCAACATCATGTCGGCCGCCTTTGCGTTCCAGGTCTTTACCTGGTACTAATTTAAGGTTGATTCGGTTTGGAAGCTAATGTCATTAGGGGGGGGGGGGGGAATTTCCGGCACCTGCCGCTACACCACCTTACAAATAAATTTTCTGATTAAAAACAGAGACTAAAGAGGCCTGGTCCTAGTTAAAGAGAATAATAATAATAAAACTGATGAATAACAAATAAATATATTATTATATTTGAAATAATAGGAAGCGTGTACATATGTGTGTGTGTGTATATATATATATATATATATATATATATATATATATATATATATATATATATATATATATATTTGTTTATTTATGGAGAGAATATTTCTACGTAGTTACGTGGTGTAGCGGCTAGACGCTCGGCTGCTGATCTGAACGTCGTGGGTTTGAATCCGAATTGTGCTGGATATTTACTTTGTAAATGACGTTTGCTTTCAGGTTAGCCCAGCCTTAAATAAGTACCAGGTAAAGTTCTTGAAAGTAAAAGCGACCGGCGTGGTGTTGACACAGGCAGATCCCTTCTAAGAAAACAGTGGGGAATCGGATCTTTTGGCGAGGGTCTAGACGCTACACCACGGCGGTTTCCTTATAAAATAGAGGTCCAGTACTATGTGTCCATTACGCCTGATGGTGTGTAAATTGGTCCTGTATGCATTGTTTATGACAGCCGCTGGGTGCACTAACAAATTGGGGGGGGGGGAGGGAGGGGAGGGGGACGTTAACTCCCATATGCAAGGACCTTTGTTATCAACAGAGTCTAGAACGCACTCTTTGTACCGTCTCGGCAATGTACGTTGGCTGCAGTAGATGGGTGAATTACTTCCCGTCTTTGGGAATATTAGGTGTCGCTGACACACAATGAAAACACTGGGGGGGGGGGGGGGGGGGGTGGCCCAGCCTATACAAATTATCTAAAGGCTTCTAGAACTCAAAATTTAAGTGTATAATAAGATTTTAAGTGTGTATAATAATAAAATTATTACCGCAAGCTAACCAAGCTTCAGCTTAGGGCCTCACAGTATTTAGGGTCCTCAACAAATTCCTATTTGTTTTGATCATAAATGCAACTTTCTTTTAATAGGGCCTTAAAGAGGATTGCATAATTTAATTTCGGTGACTGTACAAACACATTCTATATTACTTTTGTTACTAAAAATCAATGTTAATATACTTACATCATCCCTAAACACTTCATGTCACAAACCAATAAACTCTAGACAGTATGATAACCAAGAGAAAATTAAATTGCTTGACCACGTTATGGAAATGAATCCTGATATACCTGACAAAACAGCTCTCACGTGGATACCAGAGCGAAAGAGAAAAAAAGGGCACCTAAAAATAACATGGAGAGTGACCTGAGTGCGGTATCTCTGACATGGAAAACTGCACTGAAGACTGAGCAGGACAGGAAAGCATGGAAAGTCCTCTCTGAAACCTCATGTGCCACTAGGCATAGAAAGACAATAGATGGATGATGGTGATCATATTTACATCATCCACATATTTAAAAGGTCTGTACATTTTATAATTTTCTGAGAATAGCTGGTGTAATTTAAAACAGCAGGGGTCTCAGGGCTCTGTATACCATAGGGCCTCATGAAGTCTAAATCCGGCTCTGACCCCACCCCTACTCTCTCTCTCTCTCTCTCTCTCTCTCTCTCTCTCTCTCTCTCTCTTCAAAATGACCACTGCTGAAATCTAACCCTGGTACGTCAAGGATTGTAAAACGCCATTACTAACTTGTAAGCCGGTAATCCTTTTCAGCGAAATAAAGGGAGGTGAATCACATCTACAAAATGCCAGTTCGGTCATGACGCAGCTGTGATATAGGTTAGTTGTGTATCCTTTACAGGACTTTGCAGAACCAACCCCGACAGCCCCGGCATTACGATGCGTTCGCATCGACTTAGCCACAGAGCCGACAGCTGTGATATATTTTAGGTAAATTTTGACCATTGTCAGACGAAAGCTGGTGAGAGAGGCCAAAGGTGCTTACTGGATAATGACACCGAAACGAATGATAGAAAGTGATAGTAGAACCGGGGCTTCCCCCCCCCCCCTCCCAGAAAAACAAAATGATGGTACTCATCTTTCTGTTTGAAGAAAAAGGGCCGGTACTTACCACAAAGTATCTGTTACAGTAACACTGAACCAAACGATCCATAAAAGGGTGCTGCGACCCTCTAGAAAAATAACGCTGGGTAGAATCAGCTGTGAACTCTATGTGGCTTATAACGGCACAAAAGGATGATGATGATGGGTGACATCGTTCACGATCTCATATGATCACCAACGTACTAATGAGGTCTATGCTCTTGTTATTCGGCCAGAGTGATATAGGTTAGGTGTGTATCCTTTACAGGACTTTGCAGAACCAACCCCGACAGCCCCGGCATTACGATGCGTTCGCATCGACTTAGCCACAGAGCCGACAGCTGTGATATATTTTAGGTAAATTTTGACCATTGTCAGACGAAAGCTGGTGAGAGAGGCCAAAGGTGCTTACTGGATAATGACACCGAAACGAATGATAGAAAGTGATAGTAGAACCGGGGCTTCCCCCCCCCCCCCTCCCAGAAAAACAAAATGATGGTACTCATCTTTCTGTTTGAAGAAAAAGGGCCGGTACTTACCACAAAGTATCTATTACAGTAACACTGAACCAAACGATCCATAAAAGGGTGCTGCGACCCTCTAGAAAAATAACGCTGGGTAGAATCAGCTGTGAACTCTATGTGGCTTATAACGGCACAAAAGGATGATGATGATGGGTGACATCGTTCACGATCTCATATGATCACCAACGTACTAATGAGGTCTATGCTCTTGTTATTCGGCCAGAGTGTCTAATACCCTAACCCTGCTCGTCAATAGTAATAATAATATTAATAATAATAATAATAATAGAAAAAATAAGCTATTCATAAAGTTACTCACGTTAAATAGTTAATTCCTCATTCCGCAGAACATTACAGAAATTTACTTCCACGTCAAATCTTGGTTGAATACCCCGTGTTACTTTCCTGTCTACACACACTCCGGGCATGTTCTGACAGCTTCCTCAACACGGCACCAAATACTGCCAGGTGCCCATAAATAAATATATCCAGTATAAGCAAAATGAAAGAATGGATTCGTCCTGACTCGATTCCAGCAGTGCTTTAGGGGCGGCATACCAGATCCTTTGAGAATTGCGTAGTTGGCAGAGCGCGGGCCAGTGTGTCAGCGATTAGGGGACCAATCAGCCGAGACTGCTGCAGAATTCCCCACTTGAATACAGAACCAGGTGAACGGAGTGGGTGACGGTGGGGGGAAAGCGGGGTGATCGATAGATTGATCGCTGCGGTGTTTGAGCGAGATCGGACTTGTGTTGAGAGTCGGCTGTTTACTTGGAGGGTATCGTGAAGACACCTGGATATAAATTGTGGGGATTGTTGAAAGAAAATGTTTGATTTGTGACTGAAATATTTATGTGACCGAGTACACAGAGAGCGAGCGGGAAAGAGATAGAGAGAGAGAGAGAGAGAGAGAGAGAGAGAGAGAGAGAGAGAGGGGGGGGAGAAGAGACATAAATTATTGCTAAATAGATGGAAGGATACACAGAAAGACATACATGCTGATCAATACACATAGTGCAGACAGACCTGTAGACCCGCATACCGACAGCAAGTAGCGGCAGACATCTAGTTGGTTGGTCGGTCAGTAGACAGACAGACGAAATAGCTCGTTTGGTCGGTAATAGACAGACTCACATGACAGACTGATAATAAAGAAGAAAGCACGAAATATACGTATGAATAGATCTTATATTAAAAGAGGAGAGAAACGTAGAATGTGGGGTAAAGCAAGAGCAATGTGGATAGATGAAGGCCCTGGGACTTGAAGACTTAGACTCGAGAAGAATAACAATTTAAGGGGGCACAATCAACATTTGTTGTTTGTTCATAGTGTTATTAGGCAATTTTAAGTTAAAGTTTTCATTTGGTCTCTAAACTGGACGACTCTCGTTACCCATCTAACAAGCATGTCGTAAAAGCCGACTAAATATGGATGTTTCCTTCGAAGTCGGGGTGCATCTGCCTGAGAGACAAGGAACTAACAGTTTGCATTAAAATAAGCCAGATTTGCAAACGGATGTACACGTGAAACTCAAGTTCTAAACACAAAGAAGACGAAGATACCAATGTCAAAATCAACGCAAAACGGTCTGTCGTCAAATCACCTGGAGCTAATATTAGGCCTTGTTATGTAAGAATTATGGAATGACAAAAGAATCGAGTCAGGTAGACAGTAAACTGATTAGACAAATTAGAGGTAAACAGTTGGTGTGTTTTTTCGGATATTTTACGGTTTTTGCCGAGCGTTTACAACACCAGGAGACCTGATTTCGACCACCGGTAAAGTTATTGAGTTTTTCTGCCAGAGGCCAAATTAAACATCCTAACATGCACAGTCAGTGGCGCAAGCACTAGCCAGGCGGTCCTAAATCCTGAGGCAAAAGCGCCCCCTCCACTCTCCTTTCCGTCTACACCACACTAAAGAGTGGTAAAACT